AACATTCTTTATATGCACGCTTATGTTCTGTAACGGCTTTGTAATTTATGCTTTACATACAGTTTTATATTAAAATACGCGTTCACCTCGTGTATCTTACGGTTACAGCCACCGTCTAAGAATGCCTATGAGCGAAAACAGCTTCCGGTGCCTCGCCGCCTAAAGCATCACAATTTTCAATGTTATTCCACCAGATGTCATTGTCTCCGCAACAGTTAGACTTGAAGTCAATATATATAAGTAGCGAGGTCCTCGAGAACTGGAAGCTATGGAAAGTGAAATACTGTGATAATTACTTGGTTTGGAAAGGTATCAGTCAACTTGCGATGTTCAAGGACGTTATTGATGACGATGGCCTTTAAGCGTTCAAAGCCTTAAGCTAAACTGAAGAAGAAGACGCAAACCATTGCCGTGTAGTAATGGCCGGGAGAAGATGGCATCGGCGAAGTAACGTAAACAAGATTGTTTCAGCAGGAGGGAAAAACTTTCTACCGAAACGCTCGACAACTTAAATAATCGCTGAATCAAAAAGAACCTTGGCAAAAAGCTGAAATGTATGTGATTTTTTACGGTTTTTACACGATGCTCTCATCTCATCTGTGTTCGACTGGTGTTGGGATAAAACACGAGCAAAGCAAGCAGCCACTTAGGATGACAGACCCTAGTCGTTAAACAAGTGTATCGACCTTCCAGCATCCCAGATGCAAATACCGGGATCTTGACAATGACGACGGCGACGGCGAGGACAACGCCTTGTAAAATTGAATTTGTCCAGGATTTGTCCAGGATGCCTATAGCTCTAAAACCTCGTTCAGGCTAAATATGTAATGACAGCGTTCAATTCTAAATGGAAACACGAAAAATTAGCAGTGCGTTGTTGTTTTGCAGAGGACGGCTATGAAATGTACAAAGGTTTGCTGAACACACTTATACAGCCACTTTGTTTTGCTCATTAAACCTTTTGTTTGGTGGTGCCCATTGACGTCGTGGTTTGCTCCAGACTCCGTCCACACTACGCCGGAGGGATTTAAAAACGCATAATAGCTTTCTGTCTACGGTCAGACCTATGAAAACGGAGCTTTTCGAAAACGTTCTTCAGACTGGAGGAATTTGAAAACGCCGGCTTTGAGTTTTCGTGTGGACGAAAAACATCTTAAAACGGACCTTTTCGAACACGATAGGATCAGGAGAACCACGTAATTTCCCTGGCCGAGATTTCCTCAAACAAAAATATAAAACGACCGGTGATTGATGTGTTTTTAAATTCCTCCGGTGTAGTGTGGACGACCGGGCCTAAGCTTCCTAGGCTCCTAGTGAATAAATAAAGTTTTAATTTATTTACTTTTACTGTCCGATTTATCAGAAGGAACCTGGAACGTTATTTATTATTAAAAGACTATCTGTGTGGGATTCACATACCCAAAAGGAAATTCATGACATCCAGATCTTGGGTATACAATTTATTATCGAATACCAGGGTATGTGATTCGCATACCTTAAAGGAAAATCATGAAATCCAGATCTAAGGTGTACAACGACAAGCCGCTCGTTTTGTTAAACATTTTTATTATTCCCCTATAACACAATCGGGAGCTTGTTCACAGGCTAAGTTGGCAGAGATCTTGTATACGAATTGAGAAGACGTCTACGCCATCTTTGCCATGCTCTACTATACAGGCAATATTTGTGTCAAAGCTTTACACTTGCAAATCTTTTTCTAGATCTGTGCAGCAACGTTCAAGTTATCTCTCAGTGTAAAGGCTATAACGTGGCTTTTGAATTTAGTTAGGTCTTCATGACGAACTTCATTAAGTGGCACACAAACGTTTCCTTTGTGTAGTCTCTCGTTGCTTACACAACTGTCTTCCAGAACGGCATAAAATGACACAAACTCTAACGTGTGTTATCGTTTCAGCCTTTTTGGTCGAAATTCGTTCAGACCTTTTATACGATAGCCGGATTCGTATATGGTGTGTTACATATACTCTTGGTCTGATGCACTGCAAAAAATGATTGGTCGACAAAATGAACAAAACTAACACTGAAGCTCATAGTCCTTGTGCAAAGTTTAACTATTTTCAATGACCCTTCAGTTGACCTATTCCTATAACTTGTATCACAATTGTTTGGACCTATAGTACCATGAGATCCACGAAGATCAAAGACATCAGAGGTCAACAAAAGAATGAAAAAGACCAGAAAATGGTGTCACGTCTGCCACGATTTGATGATTTTTTTAAGACTCTATTTACTATTTACTTTGAATGAATACTATCCTTCTAGTTGAAAGAACGTTCACTTATCACGGAAATATAATTGGTAAATCACGCATCACCTACTTGTAAAATAGCAAATGACGCATCACGTTATGATGTCCTGTTCCGTGTCACGCGGCTAATTTGGTCTCAATCACGCATCACGCTGCTAATTTTGGGGCGATCACGCGTAACGCAAAAACCCTTTGCCACCCTCTAGTTATTCTCTTCGTTAGACTAGAGCAATTTATAACAAGAAGTAAAGAGCGGGATTAGTTGGTCCAAGACATTTACTTGTTATTTATTTGATATGTAGGTTTGAGCAAAGGCAGCGAAAGGGCCGATGTGAACCTACCATATCAAATGAATACCTATCTAAAACTACAAATATAAACACCAGGAAATTAGATAGCCAGATTATATTCGAGTGCATCTCTCATTTTTCGATTACCTCAAAAGATTAATTTCATTTGAAATCGTGTCAATCTATTTTAGCTTCTAATTTAATGTTCTAAGCTGTATCACATGTACAGAAGCTTTCGGGATAAGGTGTTCGTGCAAGTTTGCTCAATAAAGATTTTAACAATTAATTTTATATACAGTGACTTCTGCATTCCCTCAAGTATAAAGATTTACTAAAACATAATAACACTGAATACATCAACATGAAGGCCAATGTGGACTCTAGCATGTCAAACAAAATTAAAATGTGGACCAGATTGTGCTGAGCACAATTCAATTGAAACTGATACGATACACACTGAAAAATTCTCGAAATAAAAGAACCAAAATAAACTAAACTAGTATAAGGAGCAATATCTTCAGCACACATAGGGCAGGAGAGCTACGGACTTAGTGGTAGGATTACAAGATGGTTCTGAAAGGGGTTTATTGGGTTCCTGATCGATTAAGACAGCAGAAGGTTGTGGTATAGGACTTTGGAAGCGAGTGCTGCTCGCGTCATGCAAACGTCGAGCAAACAACTTTCATCAGAAACTTGGTCAGTTGAGAAAACGACCCTCGTTGCTTCCTAAAACATGTCTAAAATCCTGGGATATTTTATTTGCCATACAACACAATCGTCAGCAAATCTTAGAGACTCAGACGGTCCGAAGTCGCGCACGAAGAGGGAGTAGGGAGTTTAAGTGACCAAGACGTCGACGCCACGGACAACGTCGATAAACTGGGGATGAATTTATATTTTACACGATTTTACCTTCGAAACTCTCGATATTGCTTCAGTTGTTTTGTTTGTTTCTCACTGTCAAAACTATCACGAAATTGAATCTGAAACACATATCCGTCGTCGTTCACGTTCTCCACACAACGCAGAATTTGGTCAGTTCACTTTGCTGTTTTGCTGAGGCCTGCAAAGAAATGTACCAAGAATTATAATGCACAGCCATTGTCTTGTTTATTAAACCTTTTGTTTAGCGACGTGTCCGTTGCCGTTACTCTCGAAGTTTTCTTAAACTCCCTGGTAAGAGTGGGCAAGCGATCTCGAACCGTTAGGCAACCAGGCTAGCAAGCCGGTTGCAGCAGGATTTTACTGCAAGACAGAAATTCGTGCCATAAACTTACGGTAAGTTTGTCACACGCTGTAAAGTTGTAATCGTCTCAAACGACCAGTGAACCAGGCTTGGAATAAGAAACAGTTTTTCTCGTCACCTCTTGATAAAAATTGAAACACCAGACTCTCTAAGCTCGTGTAAATAAATGTGAGCCGCATAACATATTATCTGATCTATTGTCTACATTGTAGTTTTCTTTCACCTTCCATGTAAATATATGTGACAATATGTATGTTTCTTCTTTCATTAACTAGAGCTAAGATAACAAATAAATTAAAGTCAAGTTAAGTAATCTGACACTGATACAAAATTACATCCATTTTCTGTTCTTAAATTTTTCGACAAGAGGTTTAACCTTTCTCTTTTATTTACATTTATATTATATTACTTTAAAATATTGAACTTGATATACAGGATATGGAAGTCAAGGGCGTATCCTGAGAGTAAAGAGTTAATTTTATATGTTTGGGTTTAGCTCTGTAAAGAGGAACATTCTGATTTATTTGTTGAAGCTCATTGTATTGAAACACCTTATCTTGTTGTTCTGAAATATCTTACTATGACGACCAGCTTAAAAAAACTTGCGCCACTTTTTCATCTAATCAGAAGTAAAACCAAAACCAACGGTGACTCGTTCGCGCACATTTTCCCGCGCTTTGCGTCAGCTACATGTAATTAGTTTGAGCTTTGATTGGTTCACTGTATTGTCTGTGTCCTTTGTGATTGGATAGAGTAATTACTTTGGTTTTGATGTTATGACAAACGCTCTATACGACTGTGTGCACATCGGATGTCATCGAGAGAATAGGTAACTTGACAAGGATTTGAAACGAAATGAATCTTTCAATTAATCTGCACATAACAAACACAATGTGGAATAACTCAGATTTCTATTTGAATTCAGGGCAATTCCTGGCGGTCAAAAATCAAAATTGCAGTGCGAAGCTTATTAAAACTCGCTATTACGGAAATGATTTTCGCCTAATTACGTTTCAAAAACATTGTAGAAAAGAAAACAATTTGCTGTTAGGATGAAAACTGTTTCCTCGCGTTTGTCTTGATAATAATTGCGAGCGATGTCTTTGCCTTAATTGGTCAGAGAAACATGATCTTTGTGCGAGCATCTTGTACCCACCTAACTCAACTAGAACTTCGTTGTTATTTCAACCGACATCAACGTACAACATATGTCATTAAAACATGCTAGTTTTAGAGGAAGAGAATTGAAATGAATCATTTATTTAATTTACATACAAGACGTACAAAATCGTTTGAATCCTGTGCCGGAAATTAAGAGATAGGAATTTTTTTTTCTAACTAAGACGAATCTTCCCATTTAACCTATAGACACCAAATACATTAAAGTATCAGAACTTTGTCTCGCATATAATTCCTGGCTAGCATGGACCCTAGCGCAAGAAATTTTACTCGTATCTGATTTTAGACTGAGATCTACTGGATCTCTTGAATAAAGACATGAACAGCGATGACAATTGAGGCGTAAAGAATTTCGAAACTCTCCATTTCGGAAACAGTAAATCCACGGGTTGATCGTCGATGATGTAAACGCGATTGCCTCAATCCAGGGCCACACAACATACGCCAGTTTATGATCAACGCACTTGTCACTTGCTGTAACATAATCCACAACTGAAACCACTATAGAAGGCATCCATGAAACAATAAAAACACCCAACACTATACCAATGGTTTTAATAGCTTTGTAATTTTGCATAGCACAAGCAGGAGCGTTCTTTTCGTTGGAGTTTTGATGATTTCCCCCGCTTTTTATTGTGCTAGCTTGTCTTCTGGCGGCTTTAAAAATGGAAAAATAGCACAAAGTGACAACAGTTATTGGAAGTACGAGAGTAATAAGTGTTAAAGAAAACCACAGGCTTTCAACATTGGTCCGATTACCTACCAAAGTCCTGGAGAAAGGAAGAAACAGTGAGATCAACCACACCATTATAATCACTGCGTAACATCTTTGCTTGGTTATGATGTTCTGATAACGAAAAGGAAAGCGAATGGCAATAAATCGGTCAACCGAAACACAACATAAGTTAAATACTGTGGCGGCAGTTGAGTGAATCCACAGCAAGTTTATAACTTGCTTTAAAATGTGAGCTCTTTGAGGCTGAGTGGCAAATCGTATGGTTATCCAGACAGGGTCTATAACAAGCCCCACTAGAAAGTCTGCTACACACAACGAGGCTAAAAATCGGTTTGAGATTGTTCGTAAAGACTTGTTTTTGTAAAATAACCACAGCACCACTGCATTTCCAATGGCAGCTGCTAAACCAGACAAGAAGAGCCATAGCGAGAGAATGCTGGATGCCGCAATGCTCAGTCGCTCGTTAAGACAGCTGATGTTCATGTTGAGTTAGTCCGCGACAAAGAAAAGCCAGAAGTGGTTGAAGTTTGTCAATGGTACGAACGCCACTCCTACAGATAGATTTAAATGTAAGATAGAAATATTTGTTTTCCATAAGGTGAACAAACAATTATAACACTGACATGACTTGTTGTTCTATAGAAAGCAGTTTCTTTAAAGCCATTGGCCTGTCTAGGAAAAGTATCCCCGTCCATTGTTCTGAATTAACGATATAATTGGTCGACTTCACTGTTTTGAAGTGACTCGACTCAAATAGTCGCATTTTGATTTATATCTGCGGCTGTTTCATGATGCTGGCTGAATAAAAACTCGAAACACCTGGCATTTGGCTACAACTGTGAAATAACTTGTCGGCGGCTTAAGTGAAACAGTTTTTTACAATTCACAGGTTAATATAATCAGCTATTCTGAGATTTGATCAGGTTTTAAGGTATTTCATAATATCTACGGAACTGACCATCACTTTATGATGATTGACAGGATCGGCCAAAGAGCATCAAATATAATATAAGTAAAATTTGGGGAGACATTCTGTGAGGTACGAATTAAGCTAGTACAAGCTGATACCATAAAATTTAACATGAAAAAGTCACAAAATTTTGACTGGATGCATTTTTGTCGAAAAAGTGAGGTCTGGAAGAGACCCAAAAGTTTTATTTTGTATGTAGGCGCCGCGTTCAAACCGAAAACGTTATTTTTATTACCCACAAGGTACGAAACAATGGTCTTACAGCTAAAGCTCACCGGTTGAGTATTTTTAGGGGAATCAGACATACTGATTTTTTGCAGTCGTAGGCGAAGTGCGAAAACCTCTCTCTTTGTGATCGAGGTTCTGACGAATTCTCACGTGATCAGGGGACTGGTGATGCACGTCAGCGTAGTCCATAGCCTGCGAACAGACTCCCGGTGAGCCCTGTCCCCGCCCCGATCGCTTTGCTCTCCGAATTCTTCTGTTTCGCGCTCTCTGAAATTTTTTTCCGTCCTCGCCGGGAGCCTGTTCGCAGGCTATGTAGTCCAAAGAATGGACTTTTGCTCTTGTGACAGCACATGAAGAACCAGTTGAAGGTTGTGTTCTTTTAGGATCAACCGTTTCTGGTTAGTTGGGTTGGTTGGCTTTTTTCGCGTTCTATTGGGGTGAAAGCCGTTTTTGGTGGCCGGGTTTGGTTGAACAACTTTTGCAACCGGCCTCAAACCACTGTTGAAACTGTTGAAAAAGCATTTGCCTGATTATGTCGCGTGATTGTAGCTTGCGTAACGAGTATTCCCAGGAGTTACCGCGTTTGAACCGAAAACGGTTGGAAAAATATTCTATCGAGAAAAGTTGACCGTATCCCAAACCGGTTGCGGTTGAAACGGTTGATCCCAATAGAACACGACCGAAGTCTGGGTATGGGTTACGTCATTTAATTCTGGACTTGCTAAAGTTGGTTCGGAAAGGCAAGATCTGGCTGCTAGGTTGTTCCACTGGAAATAAGTGAAAACGAAGCCAAAACTTAAAATCAAAATGAGACGAAAAATGAACGGTTTTGTGTGAATATGAATCTTACTGACGGGGCTGGTTAAAACAAGGTGTTTTATAGAAATTCCAGCCTTCTGGTTTTATTCAAGAAGTGAGTCAGTTAATTAAATCACGTATTTAACCTAAAAACTATTTCTTTAACGGACAACGTTTGGTATTATTTCTAAAAGAAATCATTTAACTTCTCATTCGCGGAACTATTACCCATTTCGATGAATGGAAAATGAGGCCCGTTCTTTAGTCAATCGGATGGCAAGGCTAAAAATTTGACTGGTCGGCTTATCACAGAAAATGTAAATGCATGGCAAATTAATTATCTGGAAAAAATTCAGGGATAAACGTTTTGGCCCCCTGAGTGATCTGAATTGTAGAGTATGGACAGTTCATGAATGTTTTTTTTCGTGTTTGTCGTTCTAATAATTGCGAGAGGTGCTTTTTAATTAATTTAAAAAAAAAGACATGATAAAATCTTCTTGCAAGTTTCTTGTACCCCACGTAAATCAAACAAAAGTTCCTTCTTATTTCAAGAACATTAGCATACAACACAAGTCATTAAAATATAGCTGGATTTTGAAATGAAACATTTATTTAATTTACATACGAGAAGTGTAATATCGTTTGAATCCTGTGCCAGAGATTGAGAGACAGGCGTTTTAACTGAGGCGAATTTTCCCTGACTCTAAATACAAGTACCCAGAACTTATACCGGAACCTGTAACTCATACCGGTTATAGGACCATTTATCTGTAAACTAAAAAATGCATCCGGTTATAAGCCCCCCCGGATATAAGCCCTCTTCTAGCATCTAGCCTTCCTTGTTTTCAATTCGTATCATTATGACGTTTTAAAGCATAATTACCAGTAAATGAAACTGATCTATTTCGATCAACATGTGCAGCAATAGCTCGTTTCGAAATGTTTTTTTTTTTATATCCCTGTTCTAAGTCTCCTTGGATATAACCCCTCCGTTTAGAAGCCCATCTAAAAACTTTTACTAAGTTGTATAAACCCAGGGCTTATAAGCGGCAGTTTGAGGTACACAATGTCTGGCTAGGATGAACCCCAGAGCTAGAATGTTTATTCGTATTTAATTCAGTTCCAGACCGCGATCTGCTGGATCTTTTGAGTTAAGACATGAACACAGATGACAATTGAGGCGTAATGTATCTCGAAACTCTCCATTTCGGAAACAGTAAATCCACGGGTTGATCGCTGATGATGTCAACGCGATTGCCTCAATCCAGGGCCACACAACATAGGCCAGTTTATGATCAACGCACTTGTCGCCTGCTGTCACATAATCCACAACTGAAACCACTAAAGAAGGCATCCATGAAACAATAAAAACACCCAACACAAAACCAATGGTTTTGATGGCTTTGTAATTTTGGGTGTTTTGTGGGGTATTGTTTTCGTCGAAGTTGTGATGACTTTCCCTTCTTCTAGATTGTTTTTTAGCGGCTTTAAAAATCCAGAAATAGCACAAAGTGACAACAGTTAATGGAAGAACGAAAACTATAAATGTTAAGAAAAAACCACAGTTTTTCAACATTGGTCTGATTATCTACCAAAATCCTGGAGAAAGGAAGAAACAGTGGGATCAACCACACCATCATAATCACTGCGTAACATCTTTTCTTGGTTATGATGTCTTGATAACGAAAAGGAAAGCGAATGGCAATAAATCGGTCAACGGAAACACAACATAAGTTGAACACTGTAGCAGCAGTTGTGTGAATCCATAGCAAGTTTATAACTTGTTTCAAAATGTGAGCTCTTTGAGGCTGAGTGGCAAATCGTATGGCTATCCAGACAGGGTCTATAACAAGCCCTACTAGAAAGTCTGCTACACACAACGAGGTTAAAAACCGGTTTGAAATTGTTCGTAAAGACTCGTTTTTGCAGAACAACCACAGCACCACTGCATTTCCTATGACAGCTGCTAAACCAGAGGAGGTGAACCACAGTGACAGAACGATGGATGCCGCACTACTCAGTCGCTCGTTGAAACAGCCGCTAACATTCATGTTACTGTTAAGTTTGCTAACGACGACAAGAGAAGTGTAACTTAAATGAAAGGTGTTCGGAGTTTAAGTGCTAGACCTTTCTGTACGAATGATCTTAAGCCAGTAGAATGCAGCTAATCGGATGCATTTATTTCGTATAAAAATGAAATGTATACTTTGCACGCAGATGGGTTATTTTAGACAGGAACTTCTAATGATTCTAGGTTAAGAAATTCTTTTAGGGCTTCCAAAAATGTTATTAATAGCTCCCTATAACAAACATACGGCTAAATACGCAGCTATCTATAGTATACAATTAATAAATGAAGATTACTATTTCAAATGGTAGTCCTGTCTACACGAATGATCTTAAGCCAGTAGAATGCAGCTAATCGGATGCATTTATTTCGTATAAAAATGAAATGTATACTTTGCACGCAGATGGGTTATTTTAGACAGGAACTTCTAATGATTCTAGGTTAAGAAATTCTTTTAGGGCTTCCAAAAATGTTATTAATAGCTCCCTATAACAAACATACGGCTAAATAAGTAGCTATCTATAGTATACAATTAATAAATGAAGATTACTATTTCAAATGGTAGTCCTGTCTACACGAATGATCTTAAGCCAGTAGAATGCAGCTAATTGGATGTTTTTATTTTGCATAAAAATGGAATACATACTTTGCACGCAGATGGCTTATTTTAGACAGGAAGAATTTCTAATGATTCTGGGTTAAGAAATTCTTTTAGGGCTTCCAAAAACATCAGACACAAGTGAAAAGGTGTTAAAACACTTAAAACAATCAGAATTAATCGGTATCACATCTTTAAAAACTTTAATGTTACAAATAAGTCTTACTCCAGAACCCCTAACCTACCGAGTAGGAGTTGATGTATCGACAATTAAATGCCCAATAAAGCCTGAATCCACCTGATATTTGAGTCGTACCCAGCAAGTATTTTTCAGTGGTCTTAATTCGACTGTTAACTTAATTAGAATGTAATGATCAAACTCCATAAAAGTTGTATTGACTTCTGATGTTATATAAATTGGTCAAAGGTACATACCTACCTACCTACCTACCTACCTACATGCATGCATGCATGCATGCATGCATACTTTTCAAGGAGCTTCCGTACCGCAGACAAACAGGACGCGTAACAACGTTACAGTGACTCACTTAAACGTTCGGTCTTTGAAATGCCGAGATCATTTTATTCAAGTCAAACAGACAGTGCTCGAAAATAAGTTCGACATTTTAACTATCTCTGAATCATGGTTGGACAATTCTGTCACGAACTTGGAACTAGAAATACCTGGATATGATCTATATCGTGTCGATAGGTGTACTGTAGTTGTGGATCAGATAAGCAACTGACTTTCGATTTAGACTAGTTTCCAGTCACTTAATTCCCAGTAGCCAGTGATCACGATCATTTTAAGGGCCCATTAACCGATCTTTTCGAGTCGTTGCTAAGGAAAATTTAGTCTCATATAACCTCGTCATTTTTAGTTAGTTCAGAGTTATTTCATGTGTTTCAACTTTTTCATGATCAGTAACACTAGTGATGACGTCATCAGGCCACGCCCATGGTCATGTGACTAATAAAGAAAAAATGCAAAGGCTCCCAGGCAAATTACTTTCTCGGAATTTTTTTCATTGATTTAATATTCTAATTTAAATCCTCATTACGCTATGCATCGATTTTGTTTCATTTCTAAAAAGTCAGATTTTGAGAGCATTTCAAAATATTGAAAAATTCGTAATTTTCGGAAAAAAGCATGATTCCGAAAAAGGAATACATAGCTATGTTGCCAACGTTGGCTTTAATCGGAATTCGTCGA